AATCTGCCAAGGTGTGCTTTGGGGTTATAGGTACCCCTCTGTCTCCTGATGACCTTTCCAAAGACAAGATGCTAACAGAAGTGACCTGCTCTTCTCTTCTGCCAGACCAGTATGGGTACCACAACCATGTCTGTGCAGACCATTAGCATTTCAGGATCTCAAAGAAAAAAAAGGGCCACAGAGTGCATTCCAAACTCATGAGACAAATGGAAACGAACTAAACACAAACACAAAACCAGAGCCACGGCCTTTCCAATCTGTTGGAAATGGACCCACACTTCTCTTTCACCAAGTGGAATAAAAATTTAGATGTTTTTTGCCATCTTAGAAACCTTAATGTATTTGTCCTCGAGCAAAGTGACCTCAAAAATTATTTAAGAGAGTTCTTCGCTTACATTGTCAGCCTGCTCTGGCGGGCAATGGCTGGAGCACCTCACTTAGGGGCTTGTGTTGCTCACTGCATTCCCATTCTGTTCTCCCTTTCCCATGCTCTTGTGCAGATGTGGCTCAGACCTTTATTCTGTTGTTCCTAACAGCTGGTCCCCTTCCCTTCCTATCTGTCTCTGTTGTCTATTTTTTGGTTATAGCTTAGGGCTACCTTCCTCTCCAGGATAACCTTTTTATGTTCTTGAACAGCTGAAAAGGATGTGTAATTTGTTATCTCATCTTCTCTATCAGTTACTAGTAACATTAGCAATGAGCTTCATAATTCTCTGGAAGTAAACCAAGACAAAGCTTTAAGCTTAAATCTAACTGCAAATTGATGTTTAAAGTCAGCATTTGCTGTTATTATCTATAGGAGTAAATACAAAGAAGTTGGTTGATTTTCTTTTCCTCATCTAGACATACATAGGTACTTGAATGTTATAAACAGCTGTCTCAGTTGGCAGTGGCTGATGGTGGATGTCACAGGTTGGTCAGTATTTCTCCTTGTTTAGTATCTGGCTTCTGTGCTGCAGGGTGCAGACTACTCCTTTAGCCCCACACAGCTGTGCTTCACAGCGAGCACATCCAATACAACAAATGAAGACAAAGTGACCAATTTATTTTATTGAATTTAGACTCAAGTTCGACTAATCATTCTAATAAGTGAGAAGATCCAAACATCAGAGAGCAATCTATTTAAATCACAAAAAAGCAAGCTCACACAGTCTGCAGGCCATCAGATGAAATTTCATTTTATTGATTGTCAACACCCATCCATATGCACGTGTGGCAATGTGAGGCTGCCATGTACAGCAAATGACACACCACCACAATGATCTTCCGGAGGATCATTGTTATTTTTTTGTGTGTGTGTAGAACAGAGTCTCACTTTATCGCCCTCAGTAGAGTCCTGTGGCATCGCACAGCTCATAGCAATCTCCAATTCCTAGGCTCAGGCAATTCCTTTGCCTCAGCCTCCCAGCAGCTGCGAGAGGATCATTATTACTCCCAATGAAAAACATCACTTACAACAAAAAAATTTTAAAAAAATTCTCCCTTAGTTCTTATAGTTCCTAGCCGGAAAATATAATTTTAGTAACAGAACAATGAACTCTCCTTGGTTGGTCACATGATTCATCATTCCAAGGGAAAATTAAAGTCATAAGAAACAAAACACTGAAATAAATAACTCACTTCAAGGTAGTTTTGCTGCATTGCACTTGATTGCACAGAACTTGAAAGCTGATGTTTTCTAAAGCTTGGAAAACCCATCTGCCTTTACTAGTTTCTTGCTAGGTGACACGCCCCTCATAAGGAAGACTATGCCACGTCGGCCTGAGTTCAAGATGTAAATATCTGTCCACTGAGAGTTGGTCACTCTAGAATGCACGAAGTGCTCGGCCTCCAGGGTGGCCAGGCAGAGCCTCTGGGTCACTAGCTGCATCTTCAATTTACCCCCAGGCTGGGAAGCACTGCCTAACACTAGCAGTTTAAGGGTAAAAATGGGCAAAAAACTGCTGGTACAAATCCATGTGTTTTCTTCCTCTGTGATGTCAAAGGGGCTGTAAAATCTTTGAGAGTGTTTCCTGGAGGTGAGAAGGAGAAGCACACAACATGGCCATGCAACATAAGAATTTACTGTGCAGTGCTTAACACAGAGCGTTTTCCTTTGACAGAGCTTTTAGCAAGTTCCCAGTCCAATTTCTTTTGTTTCTTCTTTTCTTTTCTTGTTTTTTGGAGACAGTCTCCAGCTATACCCCTGGGTAGAGTGCATCATAGCTCACAGCAACCTCCAACTCTTGGTTGGGCTCAAGCAATCCTCTTGAACCAGTTTATTTTTTTAGTAGAGACAGGTTCTTGCTTTTGCTCAGGCTGGTCTCGAACTTGTGAGCTTAAGCAATCCACCCGGCTCGGACTCCAGAGTGCTAGGATTACAGGCATGAGCCACTGAGCCTGGCCTGCCTTTAATTTCAAGGACACAGTTTACTGCCTCCCTGGTCAGCTCTAGAGATAAATCCTTCACCTCTTGAATTAAGCTCCTCCTCGCCTGCCTCTCACCCACCCTGCACCACTCAGAGGCAGCACCTGGCAGTCTCCTCTGTAGCATGTTCAGAGTTGTGAGAAAGGACACGAGGCCCCCTCTGGAATGCAATGTGCTGTGACTGCAGACATCTCAACACAACATAATGGGCTCCCTTAAAGAGAACTTTTGAAGTTTTATTTTGGAGAGACTAGGTTTCCTAGTTTGCTAGAAACTCATCTTGAAAATAATCTAGAATCAAAAATAAGAGGTGAAATTTTGCTGCATAAACAAATATTAAGACTGAAGTTTGGTTATTTCTCTTGCCCACCTTTTGTGCCCACAAACAGTTAACTATATTCCTCAATTAAGGGATCTTTTCTTGAACTGGGCTGTTCTTCCAAGGGCCAAGAAACTTTTCCGTAAATAATTTAGGCTTGGCTCGGCGCCTGTGGCTCAAGTGGCTAAGGCACCAGCCACATACACCTAAGGTAATGGGTTCGAATCCAGCCTGGGCCGCCAAACAACAATGATGGCTGCAACCAAAAAAAAATAATAATAATTTAGGCTTTATAGGCCACATACTGCAAATATGTGTCTATTGCAAATTCTTCAACTTTTCTTTAAAAATTGAAAATCTACCCCTTCTTTTCAGCTTAAGCAGTGAAGTTTTTCTTAACACTTGTTATGGGATCCTGATATTTATGCCCTAACACTTCTTCTTTATGTCTAGACCCAGATGAAGGGTTACCCCTACCAACTCTTTTGGGTGCCCATCCACCTTCTCTGCCCCTTTGTAGACCTTTCCTTTCTCTCCTCCTGTCCCACTGCTGACCTCTTGTGGCTTGGCCCCCAACTCCCTGTAGTTTGTACCAAAGAGCCAAGGCTTTGGCTTGGAGAGGTGGGAGTTGGATGGCCGAGATCAACCACTTACAGAGCCAGACGCTCACTCACTTTCTTAAGAACTTCAAGCATGAGGTACATTCAGTCAGATGGGTAGAACCTCCTGGAGCACCACAAGACGCTGAGGCCCAAGGCACCGGTTCTAGAACTGACTGGACTACTTTGCCTGTGACAAGTCTCCACCTGGGCCTCTTAGTTGTGCACAACATCCTTGGAAATCTAGGTGGCAGGAGCTATGTCCTCACAGCTCTTATCTGCAGAATTAGTAGCCTTGGATGCCACCAAGGTTATGACCTATACTTCTGGAGTGGCAGGTTAGCCATACCTGGGGCAGACATTCCTCAGTCTTTTCTTGTGAGCCCTTACCAGACTTGCCCTTAATAATCAGTTCACAACAAAACAGGCCTCTTCCAGTCTGCTCTTCCAGTCTCTGCCCATTACCTAGTTCCAAGGTTCTTCCACAAATTTCAGGAATCTGTTATAGCAGGGATCCCACTTAAGACACCAATTTGCAACCAAGTATGTGAATTTAACTGTTCTGGATTTATACACACATGTGCATAAACACATACACATTCACACAAAAAAGAACTTCATCTAAAAAAAAATATGTATGAGAATTCCTGAAACTTCTAAACTAAACAAATGGGTAAAACCCAACCAATTTCACATACACCAATTGTTGGCCTTTTTAGGTTTTTGTTTATAATGTCAGATTTGTTTTTTTCAACATGTGAGTTTTTCTTGTATTAGATTCAGACTCTTCCCTCAGTCTGGATTAAGTGGCATTGCCAACCACAGCCTCAACTATAGCAATAATAAAGAGAACTTATCAAGCTATGTGTCTCCCAAATCAAACTGCTGAGACAACTTCTAAGAGGCAGGGGAGAGAGGATATTGGCTTGAAGCTGAGATAAACTGGAGCATAATTACACAAACAGAAGTGTACTTCCAAGAAACAGTGAAGTGACTGGAAGTTAGCTCTAGTTCTAATATAATTAAAACCAGTGAGACTTAATGAATTTTCTAATTCTTTCAAAAACAAAATATTCTAAGGCCACTAAAATATGAGATAAAGAATGTAATTACCTATGGTCAAGAAAAGATGACAGTAACGGGGATTTTTCTAAATGTAATGCAATAATAAATTCTGAAGTGTGTATGTTTTTTTTTTTAAAGACAGAGTCTCGCTCTGTCACCCTGTGTAGAGTGCCATAGCGTCATTGTAGCTCACAGCAACCTCAAACTCTTGGGTTCAAGCAATCCTTTTGCCTCAGCCTCCTGAGTAGCTGGGACTACAGGCATGCACCACCATGCATGGCTATATTTTTATTTTTAGTAGAGATGAGGTCTTGCTCTTGCTCAGGCTGGTCTTGAACTTCTGAGCTCAAGCAATACAGCAATCCACCCACCTCAGCCTCCTAGAGTAAGAGGATTACAGGCATGAGCCACCATGCCTGGTTTGAAGCATGTTTTTACAAGAACCAGCACTGCATTCCCTCATTCCAGTTCATGAGCATTCCCATACGCGCAAAGCTCAATAGTTCACATTTTCCATATCTCTCACTATAAATTTTAAAAATGGTTACCTCCAGGTGCCTATATTTCTTTATTTTGGATATAAATGGTTTTAAATTTTTAAACCTGAAAAGAAAACATGTATAATTACAGATCTGAACAATAAATAAAAATTAAATATCACTGTCTTTAGAGTTTTCAAGATAGAGAAAAAAGGTGATCATTTCAGTCAATAAGTTTTTGGTTTTATAAAAGTATCACTCTTCTGTCCTGTCTCTACTGAACTACTGACAGAACACATCATTTCCATGTCTTTCCAATATCAAAGTGCATCTGTTTAAAATTTAATGTACCTTAAAGAAAACCGCAAAATTGTGTTAGCTTTTGGCAGACGTCCTATGCAGCAAAAATCAAGTGAATGTCCCTTTTCCCTATTCCTCAATTTAAAGCTGTGATCAAAACAGCTAAATGGACAGCAAGGCTTATAAACAATGGATTTTGCGTTTAAGGAACAAAAAGGAAAAGGAAAAACAAAACCACAGGAGAAGAAAGAGGAGAAACCCTGAGGCAAAAATGGCTTATCCTTGAGTCTTCATGGAGGTCTAACTGGGTTCACAAGGTGCCTGGAGCCTTCTGGGAGGGGAGGCCTTCCTCCATCCAGAGCGCAGCGGCGGAGCCGGGGCGCAGAGTGCGCCAGTGGATACGCCGGAGCCGCAGCAGGTAGAGCAGGATGGCCAGGAGGACCACCAGGAAGCAGCCAGAGAACAGGTAGTGATTGTAGACAAAGGAAACGCCCCGCCAGTGAGCATGACTGGCCCGGAAAACCTCCTGCTGGATGTCTCTGTCCACATGGAGACCAAACAACAGAAACAAAGGGGACAGGTTAAGTGAGGGAGTGGTGAGAATGGTATACAGGGCACGGGGCAGGAGGGCCTGGTGTAGGCCCTAGCACTGTGTGATCCTAGTGGCTAAGACTTGATTTCCTTACTTGTGAAATGTGGGGTACTTCTAAGTATTAATTTGATCACATGTGGAAGTATATGCAGAAATCCAGAACAGGTATCATTATAATTTGGTTATCAAAAACCAGAGAAATTAAGAAGTACTGTGAGGGTTTTCAAAACATGGAAGTCAATGTAAAATCCAACCACAGGTCTGTGATCCATAATGCCCACCTGTCATAATTTTCAGAGTTAGCCTATCCAGGAATATTGCTAGGGAGATGCTCAGTTAATTGGAGGAAAAGAGCTAATAAAACATTTATCAGTTAGCTAGTGTTCCTGACAGGGGGTCAACTGAGTCTGCAAACTTGGAGAAAAGCATATATTTTTATTTAACCAATCTGACTGAAATTTAGCATTTCCTTTGATCACAAACACAGGTATTGAAGTACTAGCAAAACATGACTCAACTCCTAATGAAAACAGTGAATTGAAACCTCTCCAGATCACTTATGCTCATTACTACACTGAAATCACAAAGAGTGTTAGTTCTGCTGCTAGGTCTTGCTAATTAATATGTTAATAAAGAAGAACATATAAGACTGTACCATACCCATACATTAGTTTTCTGTAGTGTTTTGATAAATGTATTTCAATACAATGGCTTCCTCTGTAATCCTATATATTCACAGTACACATTTTAAAAAAGTATTTTGAGAAGGGGTCCAAGTCCACAAAGATTAAGAGCTGCTGAATTAACCCTTAAGCAGGGGCTGGAAGACAGACAACTGAGAATAATCAAACCTAGGCCAGCAGCACAAAAGGGTTGTATATTATGGGATGGGCAGGATGGGGAGGAAAGAAGAGCTTATGGGAAGCTGGGGAGAAGAAATGCAAGTGCCACTAACTCTTCCATCCTGCCGTGACAGCTCCGATAGCCAGCCCCAAACATCCACACACCACAGTTGCCACCAGGCACCATAACTGCACAGAAGCACCTTTTTGATTCTCATTACCAAATTCAAAGCCCTACCTTAAGGGTAAAAAGCGGGTCCTGTAAAGGATTGCTCCTAGCGTCCACTGAACCTCCTTGTCGTAAACTTGCAAGGCAGTCTTCAAGTTTTTATAGTTGATAGGAAATGAAAAGCCCCTATGAAACACCTCATACATCCAGGCAGATTTGAAGCACTGATACCTACAAATGATAAGCACAGACACACATCAGACTGAGCCACTTGTCCACTTGGCACCACACAGAGACAGACTTTCCCCCGTGACCAGCACTGGTATAAAGGCTTCCTCACTCAGGCCAGCTCTCCTGGCAGCCATACCAGCTCTGTGCGTTTCACACTGATTTACTTGGTTCGTGCCCAACTCCCACAACATGAAAACAGTTCACCTGTCAAAATCAATTGTTTCATGAAACTTAGTCTTGGTGTAATTTAGTATGTTACGAATTTTCTCCCTTCAGGCATTCCATCATTTATTCAATGAACACTAAGCAAGTTCCAACCTTTTTGCACTATCATTTGTTATATAAAATGAGAACATATGAAGGTCCTTCCCAGCTCTGATATTCTATGAATCTAAATATTTATTAGAGGCCTATTTTTTGAAAGCATTGTGCTAAGCAAATAATAAATACAATAATTTACAAGATACAGTCCTTGCACTTAAGTGACTTACGACAGCAATTTTTAAGAAACAGCAAATAACTATAAAACAAAGTGGAATATGACAAGTACATTAGAGAGGTCACCCCAAAAGCTGCCCCTAAAGTTATCACACATAGGGAATAAGGAAAATTGTAGCTAAATGTACCTTTATTTATGAAATATTTATTACAAAATTTTGCAAAAGGTGACCAACACATCAAGAATATTTTATAAAATTTTATATATTTTATAAATAAAGGTACATTTGGCTACAGTTTCCCATTTTGCCTGTGTGGTGACTTTAGGGACAGCTTTTGGACAACTGTAGAGACTCAGAGAGAGGGATGGAGTCTGGGTGAGTGTGCAGAAGACTGGACAGGGTCAGCCTCTGACTTGACTAGGTAGGACTTAAATAAACAAAGGTATCAAACTGTAAATTTCAGGGGCAAGGGATAGCGGAAAGAAGCCAAGGGCAGATAAGAAGGAACCATGAAGGAGTAGGAGGGAGGCTGAAGCCAGGGCATGGTAAGCCAGCGGAGCCAGAACTGTATTAATGTTTTCTTAGGAACACCCAGGGGTTGAACTTCTAGTACTTACTTAAGCCTGTGGAGGTCAGCGTGAGAGGCATACAGTCCTCGGTCAAAGCGTTCCCGCAAGATCGACCACTTTGTTGCACAATAATCCTGAAAGAAATTTCAAACCTCAAATTACTAGTAAAGGCTTATTTAAAACTGCATTTAAAAAATGGTTTACTACATTCATACTCATAACAAGCATATCCTTCTAATTAGGAAACACATAGCTTATACAATGAATGCAAGACAAAGACATACACTCAGCGAATACCTACCAATTAGCAAATACAATGCCTGTTCTTTACCTTAAAATTCTGCCAAGGGTATTGTTAAAGAGTACTTCACTGCCCTCAACCAATCTCTCCAAAACTATGTAGTTTCTCCCTCCATGATCGCATGGTACAGGCACAAACTTTTGTAAAGCACTATTTTAGCTAGTTGAAGCTAAGTGCCTAAGTCTGTGGAAAACATGTGCAAAATGTTGGGAAGATGATAATGATTACAAAAGGTCTTTAAGAGAAAAGATGTATCACCGTTTCCTGAAGTTATCTGTAATAACATTAATAGCTAACATCATGTGCTTCTAAACTACTGAACTTAAAGGATGGAGAACTGAGGCTCCAAGAGGCTGTGAAACTTCACCTTGCGGTGCAAAAGAAACACAAGCAAACATGGCTCAGCTAGGGTGAGGGGACAGCCCAGGCATTTCAGGAAGAGGAGACACCATGAACCAAGACACAGATGGGAAGCAGCAGAGAGCCTGAAGGGAAGTAGCAGTTGCTTGATAATGATGTGAGTGTTAAGTGCTATAGACTCTAAGGTGGGTTTGAGAGATACTTATGAGATAAAATGTCACACTAGGAGATGGAGGTGTGGGAGAGCCATGAATGAGAGAGGAAGAAGTACACAACTCTTAGGTTTCAGGGAGGGGGGCTGGATGGCTGGTGACACCATTAATCAAGACAGCACAATGGGGACAAACGGGGTGGGGGAGTGTGCTTGGAGTGTGAAACCCAGGAGATGACTGGGTAGGGTGAGGACTGGAGATGCTTCTTGAGAGGGAGTGCAAAGCAAGAGCATGGCTACCACCACCCAAGAACATGAAGATCAGGAGGCCAAAGAGGTGGCAGGCATCACCAAGGTTTAAGGGGTATTAGAATGGCAGAACAGGCAGGCTCAGCTCCTGTAGCCCAGAAGTTATGGTGCTGGCCACATGCACCGAGGCTGGCAGGTTTGAACCCAGCCTAGGCCTGCTAAACGACAACCAGAACAAAAAAACAGTTGGCCATTGTGGTGGGCACCTGTAGTTCCCAGCTAGTTGGGGGGGCTGAGGCAAGAGAATCACTTAAGCCCAAGAGTTCCAGGTTGCTGTGAGCTGTGATGCTACAGCACTCTACGAAGGGTGACATAGTGAGACTCTGTCTCAAAAAAAAAAAAAAAAGAAAAAGAAAAAGAAAGGCAGAACAAGAGAATAGGAGTGTCCTGGTAGCAGCATGCATGAAGGCTGGTGGGAGCTCTGTCAGATGCAGCAAAGCTGGACAATGACATAAGACTATAATCTGGGGTCACTGGTAACCAGAGTAGCTAAGGTAGCAGCGGGCACAGTCAGCCTACAGTACATTTTCCACTTCTGCTAAGATTTTTTAACCTGCCCTCAACCAAAGGGAACATGATCCAAATGCGAAAGGAAGCCAATGTCACCACCCACTCTGGTCTCTCAAAAGCATGTAGGAGCAGCTGGCTTCTTGGAAGGTTACCTTTGCAGCTTTAGTAAATGTAGCAGCATTGTAGTCTCCGCCCATGCGTAACACATCCTCAGTGCAGTAGTAGAATTCAGAGAAGCCATAGAATTCACTGTTCTGGAAGTTAACTGGGGGCTGGTAGACCCCATTGAGAGAAGTCTGGGTCTCGTTTGTTTTATTCATGAATGGCTGGACAGTCTCTCGACAGAGGTCAAAGTCTCCAGTCCCTCGTAGGTATATGGTCTGTCCATTTTGCTGGATTTCATCTTTAATGTCTAGGGGTAGGCAGGGGTCCAGGTATGGAGCATCTGGAGTCAGACCAGTCTGTTTACTCAAGAGCCTGTAGCACAAAGAGAAACTTTATCATCATGAATCCTACAGAAAGCAGTTTCAAAGAAGTGGCTGCAAGCCAGTGTTTCTCAAAGTATGTTCTGTGGAACACAAGTCCTGCAGTAATACAAAAACATTCTGAGATAACTGAGGAAAATAAACATAGGAGCCTTCTCGGAGACTCATGATACCTCCATGCACGCACAACAAAGGTTAACAGTTAACCAGCCTGATGCTCCCAGCTGCTGACTGTCTAGCAATAGTACTGTTCCCAGCACCATTTTTGCTGCTAGTGCCTGTGATTTTAACTATACATAGATGGATGAAATGTAACTGTGAAAAGAAGTAATTGGTCCTGGAAAAACCAGGTTAGATGCTTCAGTAAAGCATGGTAAGGACAAGTTGCTAGAAGACAGCTGTCAAAGTATGTGTGGGCAAGATTTGGAAAACTGGGAAAAATTCATAAAAATCTAGAAGGATTTGGTATCAAGTTGCTTCACAAATGTAGTCTCTGGTATTCTTTAAAGAAGGCCAAACTGACATCTGGATGAGGGGTGCAGTGCATGCTGGAGAAATGGAATCTAAGAAGATACCTCAGTTCAGAGCAAAAAATTAGCAAATGACAGAAATTAAAGCGGAATGTTTAGGATCTGAGTCTATTTTTATGATCCTCTGTTTCAACTTATTTATTTTTTTTAATTGATCAACTTTTGGTCTTAACTCCAGCAGATATCAGTTTCCCTTGTATTGGGGGTTCTGAGAAATCCTGTAAAAATGAAGCAGTAACTCTGCTCAATAGAATTCATGAGGCTTATTATTTCCCAATACAATTTCTGGAAGTTAATATCTGTCATCCAACTGAACATACATACCTCTAAGCAACTGAGAAACAGAGAAGAGCTTATAAAAACTAAAGTGATGCTGGTGTTGAATACCATGAAATCACCTGGGACTGCCAGGTGCTTCACTGCTAGAGTTAAATATTGCCAGAATTCAATATGAATCTTTGACACTCAAGTTTTTACTTTTCACTGACAAGTTGTTTCTCAGCGCTATCCATAATACACTTTGACGTGATAAATTAAGGCCTTCGTCATAAAAATATTTATTTAGTTAAAAAAAAAATCATCACTATGAATAGTAAAGAAATAAACATGCGGCTCGGCACCTGTGGCTCAAGTGGCTAAGGCGCCAGCCACATAAACCTAAGGTGGCGGGTTCAAATCCCCAGCCCGGGCCCGCCAAACAACAATGACGGCTGCAACCAAAAAATAGCCGGGCGTTGTGGCAGGCGCCTGT